ATGTCCAGATAACTCATAGACTACATACATAAACCCCAGTATATTTAAGCATATTCCAGTAACAAATCTGATCAAAATACAAAATCGTTGTCAAGGATTCAGAGGTGAAAACATTATATCTCAGAAAAAAAAACACTAACGAAAAAATGGTAATTGCACTTTGTGTAAATACACACACAGTGACAGAATACCCCAATGACTTCCAGCTAAATTCGTATCTACCCCCACTTTGTGATGTACTTTATCTCCTTGCTCTTGTTGGCACTGGTAAAGGTCATCTTTCATATCTTTTAATTCACGTGTCTTTGCCACCAGCTGCTGACGTTTCTGGATCTGTACTGTACCTACAAAGACAAAAAAAAACCCCAACTTTGATAGTCTGACTTACATTAAGTATTTAGAGGAACAGATGAACCTAACCATCATCTTAATTTTCTCTGCAAATTCAAAAACATCCTTACTTGACAATTTCTGCCCAGTACTTACTAGTAACTATTTAGCTGTAACAAAATCAAGATTATAAAACCAGATTGTTACATACTGGTTCTGTTTCTTCCAACAATAAAGAATTTCTCAAACAGACCCCAAAATATGCTATTGCATCGTCCTTTACTTGACTATAACAAATGAAGGAACTGTGGAACACTATAGAGAAATAAGTTAGATACAAAACAACAAAAGCTATGCAGGAAAAGGGTATGTGTGACTTTCTTGCCATTTTTTTAATAATATGAAAGCCAACCAGGTTACAAGGGAGACCGTGAGTCCATGCATTACTGGTTTCAGAACTACAACATTTACTGGTAAGTAAAGTTACATGAAAGAGAGGATATTAGCACAGTATTTAAACTTCCATTCAGAAACACAATTATTACACACTGCTCACAAAGCAGCAAGTATTGTGAGCTCTATCTTGTCACTCTTATCCATTAGTGAAGGCTGAAGAGTTATCTTTCAATTGTCAAAGGCTGAGACACACTATTTTTCTTTAAAAATACCTTCATTGTACTAGCTACCACTTTTTTCCGCCAAGTAAAGCTTCTTTACTAGTACTTCCCTACCTATACACGTTCTGTAAATCCCAATATTGATGTAGGTTTTCTTTCTTTGCCTTTAAGATTCTCCTGAATTGACTCTACAGCAGATGGCAATGGCAAGTTTTAAGTATTTCTTTCAAAACCAATGCTGTACAAGCAGAATTCTATTTCTCTATTTAAAGGCAGGGAGTAGGTATTATTACACAGAAGAAATCCTATAAATACAACTACACTGAGGAATTTTTTGTGCTCTCTTCTGTTTAACATCTTGGAAAGTATTAACAGTGCTCTATTAAACCAAGTTGAACCACAATAGCTCAACATTTTTACAGTAATGATTTTAAGTTTGCAAACTCCTAGTAAACACTCATTAGAAGCAGAGATCCTTGTATAAGTGAATTTAAGTATGCTGATAGTAAATCTGATTTTCATACTTATGTTTTATAGGTATCTTTGAAGAAGTATTTTTTAAAATATAAGTATGCATACACATATGGATGTGCATGTACACATACACACATGCACAATTTAAAAAGTAAATCTGAATGCAAGGAGAGCATCCACAATACATCACTCATGACTCTTACCTTCAGGTTTACCTATCAACAAATAAAATCAAGGTCAAGTGAAAATTAATACAAACCTCGAAATACATGTCAAAACTTAGACCACTATCAAATAGTCAAAAGCAAATCCAACTAGGATTATATTCCCAGTCGCAAATCGAATCACAAGTCTTCTTATGAAGGCACATTTTCATATAAAACTAAAACTACTGAGGAAAAGTTACTATTAAAAGTAAATGCCTTCTATAATTTTTATCGTAACGTGTCTTAGAAGATCAGAATTGCACTATGTAGATTTAGATCTGGAATGAGCTCTGGTTTGTTAAATGTAGTAACAATCTGTGTCAGGTTAAGTTTAGGCCATGTGCTGAACACTGAAAAGATGCTCCTATTCTGGATTCCCTAAACTACTCTGGAATTGTAAGGACAACTACTGTGTATTTTTCGCCATCAGACAGAGAAAGATATTAATACTGTGAACTCCTGTAAAAAATATGCCTTGCTCTTACGTTTTCCAGATGAGTACATGTGGGACGGAAGTCTGAAATAACTCTCTGAATGCTGACAGGAATGGTAAACACTACCACACTTCTATTTCCAAAAAAGAGATGTGAATAACAATGGCTACACACTGCATTAGGAGAACAGTAAGAAATTTCTATCTGGAAGTGCAACCAAAAAATAATTTCTTTCTATTTAATTTTAGAGCAGTGTATGTTAAACACAGTTGCACTGCTGAAGGGCCTCCCAATATTATCCATACGTTGGATTTTTCTCATTTTTTAGGTTTAGATTGTTAACAGAGAACAACAACATTAGTCACAATAAAACAACATTTGTTGTGTAAAATGTCGATTCTATGATTTTTTTTTTCTATAAACTCACCATAGAAGTGTCCAAAGCCCATGCTGATGGCAATCACCAAAGCTAGTATGATGCACCTGTTAAGGCCAGAACTGAACTGACGCTGGTGCTGCTCTTCTCTGGGAGGTTCAGGCTCGGGTTCAGGGGGTGATCCACCCTCAGCCTCAGAGCTAGAGATCAGCCTCTTCTTAGCCCGACGTTTTCGCACTGTGGGACTGGACTGATTGCTAGTTTCATCACTACTTGATTCATCTTTGCTAGCCTGAGATGAAAAAACTGAAAGCCAACAGAGAACAGTCTTTAAAATGCATTAATCGTTACTTTAAAAATAATTTCAAGCACCAAAATCCATCATATTTAAGTAAATATATATTTGGCACTTATCTTAGAGAACAATTATAAAACAAAATAGAAATTCTCAACATTATTTACACCAGATATTGTGCAAGAAATACTTGATCTCCAAAGCTAAAAATTCATTGTTTAAAAAAGACAGAGAATCAAGAAATCATCAGCAAAGAGCTGTACAGCACTTCCCCATACCTTCTTGTTCACTCATTAGAAAGTATTTCTTTCAGACAATCCTGCCTCTCAAAGTATCTCCACATATTGCCTCTGCAAATTCTTATGAAGTGGGCAGGTTGAGAATTCAGTTTTGCTTCTTACAGATATTGAGACTGAACTATTTAATAAAAAAAGAGCAATGTAAAGGCTTGCTAGAAGAAAGCCTCCTAGAAGACAGACATGGTTTTCCTATATTCTCTCAAAACACTTCATTCTATAATCAACATGCAGCTGCAGATAACATTCCAGTAAAGTTCCATTAATGCAGATATTATAAATATCTAAAGTTCTTCATCGCAAATTTATTTAAATACGTAATTTTGTTTACTTTTAATATCTACCATATGCTACTTCTTAACATCTTCACCTACCCTTCAAAAAAGCCATTTTCAACTGCTACTGCACAGGAAAAGAACCGCTAAGGTGCTTCCGCATTTGTCGTCCTCTAACACTCTGAATCCAAAACACTTCTATTACCTGACTGACACTTTGGAAGATTGATTTGGCGAAGATTTGAGATATGAATAAATTCTAACCAAAAAATAACCATTTACAGCATTTTTTAAAAATGTTATTTATGATATCATGTGTGTTCATGCTCCTGTGGCCCCAAAGCTACGCATTCTAACTGGGAAAATAACAACTGAGCTGTAATTGCTTGTGGCTATTAGTGGTACAAATGCTTGCTGCATGTGTTGTAAATAATTTTATATTTTCCAGTATATAAGTAATGATTATTTAATCTCCTTCCTTTTAAAGCATCATTTTCAAGTGTAAGGTAAATATCAAGGGGAAGCAATAGCAGGGTGAAAAAGCAGCTTTCAAATCCCTGCGTTCATGTACCCAGTTCACATGCCTGAAACAGATTCCATGTGATCAATGAAGCCTCCAGTACGTGACAAAGTGCTCCCCACTCAGACACTAAGATTTGATGCCCGCAATTGCACAATGCTAATGCCCCTTCTAGAAATACAGTTGTTCATTCTCATGTCAGAGATCAACACTCAAACATAAAAATATAAACATAGTCACTGTCCTTGAATATTTCACGACTTAAAATCATTTGTCTGAGCAAAGCCATGCGCGCATGACCAAAAAGACAAGAATGACAAGCAGTGCTAGCCACTACCTATAAAAAGCATTACCAGTTAAGATTCTTCACTTAAATGAATTCCAAATTAATATAAGTGATTGCACCAATCCCAGAAAAGATTACCAATTAGGCTCTGGAATACATGTCTAATTTCTAACTCCATGGACAAGCAACATGTCAGATATGCAAGATTACTTCCACTCTTACTTTAAAAAAAATCCATGTTAGTTAATTAGTCAAACCAGACTAACCAAGCAGACATTGCAATAGACAGATCACCTAAACAGCAACCTGACATGCAGATTCTCTAACAAATTTATACAGCTTAACAGAGAAAGACAGTTTTAGAATCGATCATTTAAGCAGATGAATACTCTTTCAGTCCTGGACAATAACAAGAAGCATTCAGAAATACAACAGGTTTTATTACTGCTTATTTGGGTTTGGGTTGGTTTTTTTTCCAACAACCAAAGAAGCTTACACATATGGAATACAAAAGAGGTTAAGGAACTAGCTGCTTCCAGCCAAATGGGAAATTGATATACACTGGACAGCAAAGAACAGGAAAGAGGAAAAAAAACCAGACAATCAGAAAGCAGACAGAAAAAGCTGTATTACACTTAGAACCATTTACAAGCACTTACTGACAAGCTGTCAACAGCACTACACTTTCAGACAAGAATGACACTGCCTTACAGCTGCTGTACAAATTCAGCACAAAGCTCTACTCTAACACTCACAGGATGAAAAGGACTATAGATGAAACAAAGTGTGACCATAACTGCAGCCCAAAATTCTAGCTTCTGCTATGATTTTGAAGTGTCAGATCTACACTGGAAACCAGATGAAGTAACAATGCCAGCTAAGGAAGTGGTTTTCTTTGCTGTTTCTGCACAGACATGACTCAAGCCCAGATGCAGTTTATTTCAGTATGTGAGTGCTTCTGTCAGTTAACTTCATTCATGAAGTAATATTAAAACATTTCTGTTTGCATGATGAATACAGCCTAAACAGAAATTGGATTGCAAGTAGAAGTGGCATAAAATCATTGCAGAATGTTTCAGTATCTATGAGAGGAACATCTGAAGTCCGTTGTTTTCAAACTCATAGAAAACTCAACAAGAAGTGGATGCCAAAGACTTCCACTGCCAAAAAGTGGCATGATAATTTTGACTGCTAAAACTTTGCCATTTAAAATAAATGCCAAAGTACTCCAGATATTTTCTATAATACTTGGTCAAGTAAATGCACAGTGCCAAAGACCGTGCTGAAATCAGCTTAAGTTAGAAGGAAGAAAGCCTTTTTGCCAGTCACACATAGATTTGGAATCCAAGAAGAATCGTTTGTTTAAACAGTCAAGCATACATATTAAAATCTATTACAAAGCTTACTAATGCCCATTCCAAACTTACACGTAAGTTTAACATTTTTCAAAAATGACAGCCTAGCAGAATTCTTCAGTGAGGACTGGCTTTCAGCATTGGTTTGGAATATCACTGCTAAAACATCAAGTAAGACTGCTAGTGATAATTTTAAGAACACTCCATGCAAGCCGTAAGCAATCAGCTTGACACAAGCTGATCCAATTTAATCACACCACCTTGGAAAGGAAGACTGCGAGACACATGCTCTTTCACCTCATTTCCCCATCCCCTTACACAATCGGGAATCTTCCTCAGCTTCTCCAGCCAACTGACTTTTGTGTATAAAAACATGGGAGGGAAGAAAAAATGCATTTTTAGAACTCAGCCTTTAGAGAAGTCAACAAAATTTTAATTAAAAATTACATCAAGTCTAAAGAAGGTGACAGTGTTGCTACAAAATCATCACTGGGCATACCTAGACACTAAACTGTCATTTTGCTTTTCCAGTGGATATTATACAGATACATGAAGGTTTAACGATGTTTTACTCTAGTTCTAAGATAAAACAGTATTTTAAGAAGAACCCTGCTCTTGTAACAAACCTATTTTGAAAGGCAAAAATCCAGTAACACAAGTCTTATAGAGAATAAAGAGAACAGACAAGATTACAAATAAACAGTTAAACAGAATTTAAAAAGACAACTAGAGAACTATAGAAGAGTAACACAACAATAAGGTTCTTAGTTTGGGTGCAGTGAGTTTTTGGTTTTTTGGTTTTAATTGGCCAAATATTCTTCCTTCCTCTTGAATATCATTGGCTTGTACATTTGTGCTAAGAGCTGGGAGTATCTTTAAAAAATATTTATATTTTACATAGCTATGAAGGTAAGCCAACTCAATAAAAGCAAAAAACTGCCAAGAGAAAATCTACAATTATCCTATGAACTACAAGTAATTTTAATTCTCAAAAGTATGCTTTCTATTTAAAACAGCAAACACTAAAAGAGAGAAAATACTTTCAGGTATGAAGATTGCAGACATGTATTTGGACAAAGTCTTACTGTTAGGGCAACTAGATTTGTCTAGAGACTGCAAGTACTTGGACAGGTAGCCCACAAGACCAATTTTTCCCCCCTCTCCACACAAAGAAGGTTCCCTAAACAAAGGGGGTTTTTTTATTTATTTTTCCTGGTGACATTTCTGCACATAGTTGCTTAGCAATTTATTGCTCTTACCAGTTTCTAGGTGGGAAAACGCATATTGACTGCTAGAGGAAGAACCCATGTTAAAATCATCTGAACTTCGAGCTTCTTCACCATCAGCTGGAGCTTCCTCCTGGCTGTGAGTTTCCTCTGGCTTTGGAGCTTCAAGTGTAACAATGTCAGAATCATCGCTAATAGTTCCAATGCAAGACACATCATCAGGGATTTTTTCTTTCGTTTCCTAGGGAAATGGACAATGGAAAAAATGTTCAGATACATAAAGTAATTTTACAAAATAGCAAGAATTCTTAATACTTTTTAAAAAAAGGAAAAATTGGTATCTTAATTTTAATGCCTTCACAACATTGCTTGGCATCGTCAGTTGGATCTTAGAGAAGCTTTTCAATAACATAAATTACCTCTGGAACTGTCTGAGTTTCCTCAAAAGCAGAGAGATTATTATCTACCACTGGTATATCTCCAGCACTGTCACATTGAGCTATAGGAACAAAAAAAGGAAAAAACAAATAAAGAAATGAAATATTAAAGCAAGTAACAACAAATTACGCTCACTCCCATATAATATCAAAATATTTATAATTGTGAAAGATTTCTATTATCTACATCTATCACAGAAGGTTTTCTAAAAATACCTTAAATCTCATTTTTAATATCCCTCTTAACAAACATCAGAATCAAATTTGTCATTATGTTACACAGTGTTTTGGACGATACTTAAATTCAAATGTTCATACTGATCATAATGCAAGTAACCGAGAAAGGAAAAGCACAATCAGACAGAAATCAGCACTATATTGTAAGTTGATACCACAGTGTACATTTGTATGTTAGGATAATTAAAATATTCTCCAGATAGTCAGTCCTTAGAGTGTCTAGTCCTGTTTCTACATGGAGAGGTTATGAATTTGAAAACATGGCCCAGTCCAAATTTAGTCCACTGCACACTGACCCTGTCACATCTGTGTTCTCATACCAATATTAACAAATTGAGTATTAAATTTAGTAACTAAAGTGAGTGGAAAGACTTTTATTCTATTAGTATGCACCAGATTTATGCTTCCAACTCAAGAAATGCTAACACAGTGTCACAATGCTATTTTTCGGGTGTAAAAACATTGATGATTCCTCCTAAAATAGTCTTACTTGATCTATGACATTATTAAGGAATATTTCTTTATCAATAGTACTTCCACAAACTACCTTCCAGCAACATGAGTGCATACTATAACACATCTGAAGCACTGATAAAACAGAAGACATTATACTAATTCAATCTTTGAGACAAAAATACTCCTATAGAATTGAAGACTGAATATTTTCCATAACATTGATGAACGAAGTACTTTGACAGAGACCTACAAAGAATACAAAGTTTAGTAAAAATACTAATTTTGTGCCAGTGCCACAGCAGATACTTAGAACTGCTCCTCTTTTAACATTGTACCTTGTAAATCAATTGGTTGCTCAACTGGTTGCTCCTCTTCTTGCAAAGACACATATTCTTCTGACACAAACTCATGGTTGTCATTTGTGCTTCCATTTTCTGAAGTCACTGTCTCTATGTCAGAACCCTGGAGTTGAAGAGTTTTAAATGAACATTACAGTTATTGGGGCTTCCATCAGTAAAGCTGAAGGAAAGGGTTACAAAGAAAACAGAACATTAGTAATAAAAACAGAAGAATAATGACCTTTAAAACTGAAGAAGATTTTATGCACAGAAAACCAAGAGAAATACCAAGTAATTAACTAGATGGAACCAACCATTAATGTATAATAGTTATGACCATGATTGAAAAAAAGCAGAGGAGGACAACTCTAGGGGAAAAAAAAAAATCAGTTTAGGCATCAATTAACAACTACTCTAAATATTTTAAATAACTGTTCTCTATTAGACTTCGGTACTAAATAGAATTTAGAGAAGCAGAGGAGGTTGTCAAACAAGTTTTGAAGATGGCATCTAATTCTTGCACACACATCCAAATATTGTAGGTAAACACACCCCCTCCCCAGCACAGAACTTCAGGTGTACCACCATGAACTCTAAGTACTACTACCAGGAAAAAATACGTACAGCTCTACTCCATCTCAATTCCTACCAGCAAATGGCTGTTTTAAGAACACACCTCCAAACCCAGGAAAACAAAAATTTACACAATTTCTAAACTAGATTTCTGCCTTTAATGCAGAAAGAAGCCTTAGTTATGAGCCAGCTGCCAGTTTGAAACAACCTCAGAGCAAAACAGGAACTGAAGATAAACAATGCTGGGAGACTGCAGGGCACTAATGACAAGTAATATCGTTGACAACTCTAAATATTTAATTTTCATATTCTAATTTTTGTTTAAAAGAACGGATAGAACACAAGTTACTAGAAAATTCTAAACTTGCAAAACATAACTGAAAAATACTAAGTCACTCTGATCCATAAATAGCTTAGGCTGTTTTTGTAAACAGAGATAGCTATTTTTGCAACAGAAGGTGTGAAATTACAGTAGCAGCAATACTTCCAGATTAGTTTCCCTACATTTCAGGACTCAAGCATACATGTATGCTTTTGGTTTTGAGAGGAGATTGTACATCAGGAATATTAGATACTTCAAAGAGAGTTGTGTAACATACATTCTACAATCACATTCTGCGCAACTTAGGCCTGTCTTACTCACTGCTAGGGGCAAGTAAGATAAAACATCAGTCTTATCTAACTTCACATGTCTACACCTGAGCATATTGTTGAAGTCACCTTTACGATCAATACAGTCAGTGGCATCAAAACATCGAGTCATTTGATCAAATGTAAGTACTGACTTCAGGATAAGAATTACTGCTCTAGACTTGACTGACTGCATTGATTTAACCTGTACAACGCAAGCGTACAAGCCCATATCAGATTCAGTTGTCAACACTGTAGACACCCAGGCAACAAAGAATCCCATCCCAACAGACCCTTAATTGCTTCATTGTTTTCCTTTTGTGTCAAGCTTTATTTTACTAGGGATTAAAAATTACTTTTGTTTTAATAAAGTCATTGTCACTTTATACTAGTCCAACACCAAAAGATAGAAAACACACCCAAATTAAACCAGGGCTACACAGACATAATAGAGACAAATAGCTACAGCCCAAGGCTTGATCAAAGAATGAGGGACTTCAAGCATTTCACCCAAATAAAAGTATGCCTAAGAAATGAAGCTACAGCAGACATCAAAAGATGGACAGAAACACGACTGAAGTCATATAAATCTGATAGAGCTCCACACATCAGTTGAATAGGTCTTAAAAGACAAATATTTTGAATCAAGAACTGGTTTTTGCCTTGCACACAGTCTGTTAGCTCTTTCTACCTGCTGCCACACAATCTACCATCACAACTTCCTTACACAGCATAGATTGTTTTTGTGTATTTACTTATGAAAAATACCTCTTCAGTTTGCCTACTGAAAAAAAATAAACAACATTCTCTTAGGTGTTGCCACTTACTCAGTCCTGCACTGCCATATGAACTCCTCCTCCACCAGGTGCCAACATCCAGCTTATTTCTACACATGCAACACCTTTTGCTCTCCTGCCTCAACAACAAGGGCAAGGAAACCCAGGATTCTAACGTGAATTGCAAAAAATTTGCGTTCAAGTTGCTGAGAGTCCCAAAGTCACTTGGAAACTCAATCCTCCTTGCAGAATAATCTCTTAAACCTCAAATCCTTTCAGGGTTTTCAAGACCCTCCAAGTGTAAGCATGGCAAGCCCTTCCCAATCTTAACTATAAGCTCCAAAAATGCTCTAGTTCTCATTCCTGACCTTACAGTACAGATGTAAGGAGTGCTGCCATGCCCTCCTATCACCTTCATTTCCCAATAAACCTGATTTGCGGTATGGAATAGGTAATTACATACTCTCTGTAACACAACCCTCTCCAGTCTTCTAATAATCCTTCTAATAATCTAGTCACTGACTATAAACTTGCCTCTATCCTACTTTTTCATAATAAGTTAGAACGTTAGAACAGAAGGCTGTTCCTAAACAGCAACTGTTCAAGCTAGGATCAGATACCTCAGTTGTAGAAAAGACTTGGAGAAATTATGGAATCATTCCCTTCTGCACGAGACATTTTTCCTGCCCCTTAATCCCAACATTATTTTTTTTGTGGGGTGGGGAAGAAGGGAAAAGGTGGGATTTGGAAGAAAAAGAAGAAATATATTGCCAACAACAGACAAGTTTCATTCTGACTTATTTATAATCTCTCTTCTATATTCTCTGTTGACATACAAGCTCCACACAAAACAAAAAATACAAAGTTGAAATAATATTGTACGGCATATGGCTAGTCTTGTAACTGATAGAGCTTCATTAATTTGAGATTTGAGTACCTCATGATTGATGACAGTCCAGCCACAAGAGGAATCACTGTCACTGGAGTTTTCAGACATTTTCAAAGCACACTGCAAGTAAAAGTAGATTCTTTTAACATGCAAGATATATTAATTTCACTTGCTTGGAAAAAAAAAAAAATCAGAAGAATCCAAATCATGATGTTACAGAACACTACGCTAACTCACAAACTGTTATTCTGAAATTTTAAAACAAAAACCCAAAAAGAATAAAAGTTTAGAAAGAAAATATATTCTTTTGTACATAATTCCTATTATCTTTTTCATACCTAGAGCAACTATGGCTTTGGTAGGTACATACCTATTTTAGCCAGCCAAAAATCTCTTAGACTAGCTAAAACCACACACATGAGGCTAGCCACTGAATCAATAGTCAGATTTAAAATTTGTCTGTAGCATTACTGTTTAAGACATGTTTCAGTAGGTGAAATGATTTCTGAATTGTTACATTTACAGGACCTACAGCTTATTCAAGAGAAATACGGTGCTTTTTCAGAGAAGACACAAAATAGGATCTTTTGGAACTAACACTCCTCAACTACCATGCAAAACAGTATTTCATGTTTCTTTCACTCCTTTCAAGTAGTCTAAAATTCTCTGTTTTCCTCAGAATCAGTGTGAGTATCTGGAGACTGCAAAAACAGGACAAAAAAAAAAGTATAAATTTTACTGGTTAGATGACTTTGGTATTTATTTTCAGAAGAGAGCTGTCTGACTGCAGTTGCTTGTTTATTTTTTCTCCTGTACCAGGAATACAGAGTAGAACTCATTTATTGGTTTTTTTAAATTCTTAATACGAAGACTTTAAAAAGAAATTTAACACATTTCTCATTCCTTAAAACAAAAATACATCAATTAGTTAAATAAATTTACTATAGATTTACCTTGGTGAAAAAAAATCTTTACAAAACTAGAACAATTTCTAGTCAATTATGCGTTATGTTATGCAGCCAACATAATAAAACAACAAAAGAACTCAGGGTTTAATAAAGCTTCTATAAAAGGATGATTATACTGACAAAACAAAGAGTTCTGAGGAGTTCAGACATCCCCTTTACTTTCCACACCCAGTTACTTCTGGTAACAGCACAGAGAAAAGCACCTATTTGTTTAAAGTTACTTACTCTCTACCTTATTATTAATCCTGTCTTTACTCTCAGTTTGTTAACACAGAAAACATACACAAGTCCTGAGTTAGAACACCTAAATATGCTAGTATAGCTAGGAGTTAGTACAACAAAATCAGAAACTTCCAATTCCATCTAGGTTTCTTACGAGATACAGTAAACATTTGTCTCATATCTCTGTATTACAGCAGTTACTATGTGTTTTACTACTACAACTTTTTCCTCATCGACAATATATTTGTAGTTCCTCTGTAAAAAAGGCAATGGTGACAATCATAAATTATAAAGCAAAATTATTCCCCAACAATCAACAGACAAACTGGGTTTCCATTTATTACTAAGACCTACTTTGAATACAGTTGTCATCTTTCTTCAGATCTTTTTCTTCCTTCACTAGTGCTTTTCCTGGAATCTCAGCTAGGGAACATCAGAGTTGTGGGGGGTGCATTTTGTTTTCAGTTTGTTTGCTTTGTTTGGGTTTTTTTAAATCTTACTGTATTTAATCAGAGATTTATTTATTTTTTAAAATCATACTTCTTCAACCACTAAAATAACAAATGCCCAAATGGCAAAGACTGCATTTCGGGGCTCTCATGAGACAGTAATATCTGCTTGCTGCCATTAAATTATTTTGACTTTGACCAAGCACTCAGCAGCAGCATTCCTTTCAGAGGAAGGTAACTACTAGTACCAGAACTTGCCACCTGTGAAAAACATCACTGACTATGTTGCAAAAAATGTCCTCGTGATCAAAAATTAAAGAAACAAAACATTCTCATTACTCTACAGTTCAGCCAACAGAGCTATCATAAGAGTGTGAAATTTACCGTCATTGAAAACCAAGCCTTCTGTGCAACCACAAAAAACACCATTTGGGGCAAATATCGTTCAGGTGGCTACCCAGTCCTTACTAGCGAGTCTGATCTCTACTGAGGAAGAAATTCAGGCTGTGGTTTCATAATACAGCAATTCCAGTTTTAGTGGATCTCAGTGCTACATCAAAAAAACAACTAAGTCACATAACGCAAATAATTTAACAGGCAAAAAAAATCCCACAAAAATCCAATGAAACAAGTGTATTTACAAATTCTGAAATGGCAAGTTTTAACAGCAGACTCTGCTGGATGTTTTAACATCTGTCTTCCTCTAACTGAGCATTTCACTATGGGTCTTGGCTAATTAACATAAACGCTATCTTGTTCTCCCTCTCCATTCACATCACAGACTGACAGGTAACTGCATAAAACCACTCCAGTGAATACAGAACCACAGCCTCAGGCTCCACAGAGCATTAAACATCTGTCTTCTCTTCCCAAAGGAAAGCTTCAGGGCCTAACTCTGTGGGTATAGGCATAATCAGAAAATGTTAAAAAAACAAGCATAGGAACAGGCAAACAATCATCATTTTCTATTACTTGCTGGCCTTGTACTCAACCTGAATATCATAGTAATATTATATATTTAACTGTATACAGGTGATCAATCTTCAAAAATACAAGTTTTTTTATTATCAAGGACAGGAATGAAATTTTAAAAAATATTACAAAATCATTGAGATTTATGGGTGGAACTGCTAAGTTTACCAAAGATGACAGACAGATAGCATAGACTGAAGGGCATCTCTAGGGTTGCTATATTCCTCCAAACACATTCAAGAACATGCAAGAATAAAAGTTATCAGAAGTAAAGCATTGTATTAATTAAAACTAGTTAGATCTCAAAGAGCAAAAGTCTACAAACCTTTAAAAAACCAAAACCAAACGTACCAATAGTGTTGCTAAATTTCACCTAACAGCTAGAATAAGCAGTTTATTTCTGTAAAAGATTAATAAAACACACATAGTCATAACTGAATCTGAAGTTAAATCAGGAAAACTTAAATACAGAAGGATAAACTGAGTCTAACAGCTAAACTGACCTACCCAAAAAAACTTCACAAGCTTGCACTCTCCATCACAAAATGATAAAGACCCACCAAAAATCACCATGGTTTTCCCACTTGCCCAAAGGTGCTGGATACAGTTGGCTTTGTCTTCCCACATACAAGCTATTGGGGGGGGGGGAGGAAGGAAAACAAAGTAGTTTTGGGCAGAAATTAAACTGCCACGAAGCTTGCAAACTTCCTAATGAATCCAGATAATGCTAATGGCTTCTGGCTCAATAACAGCAAGGATAACTGGAGGCTACAACAGAGTATTCCACATCTCCTGTATGTCAGGCCAAAGGAAAGACTGGGGAAAAAAAAACAAAAATCAAAACTCACCACACACACACAGCTTCACTGGTTCAACTTCTCACTAAATACCTTTATTATTTCTATCTTTTAAAAGAAAGTCACAGTCCTTCTATACTCCAGTTTAAACTGCAAAGCTGATTCTAGGCCTACAAATGTTCTACACTCTCAGTGACATCATCTTTAAATTTCTATCTAGACAAAATAAACATCTGTTATATTCAGAGATCAACCTCTACACATTTCTAGGTGGGGCAAGCAGGGAATCAGAAGTGTGAAATACTTTCCTAACCTTAGTGAAATGCAAACTAAACGTGTAAGGTGTGTAAGTTTACAGCCGTATGTATCATCGATGATAATGTAATATCAACTTATCCCATATATCTATATAAAAATAAACGAGATAGCATGTCCTATTTTCCCACTGAAAGGCAGAATAAATACCAGCCCCAGAAATAATAACCATTCCAGTATAAACAAACCCCTAAGCTCTTCTGTCTCCAAAGAGGATTTCCTAGACTACAGAAAAAATCTATGAAGTGTTGACAAAGATGAATACTAGGGCGCCAATAGGAATCGGAGTTCCTTAAGAGTCTGCTGTGCTGTCATTCCAAGTAAAAACTCACAGTTCTCTTCTACAGTAGCTTCTTTGTTGCAGAGCAGAAACAAAAACACGTAACAGAGATGTTATGCTTCAGGGTTTCCATGCAAGATTTACTTTTACTAAGCCATATAATTTCTTCCTCAAAGAAACATTCTCTTCGTGAATATATTTAGAAATCCATCAAGGTTACCTCCAGCAAGGCAAAAGTGGCTCCTGAAGCCAACATCCCCCCGCCTGCCCAGCGCCCGTC